GATCATTTCGGCCTATCCCAGCCTCATCAGACACTTGGGCTGATACAAATTCAAACTCGGAAAGTCCAATGAATGTCTCTCAAAACTGCACCGCAACGTATTTAGCTTACAAAGGCGCCACCTGCTTTGGTGGCCGTAAACTAAACGTTATGATAATATCGTTTTCTGTATCCTTTGGGCTATGCTAGATTAAAAATTTTAAAAAATTTTTTAATTTTAAATTAAATTTTAAATTAAATTAAATTTTTAAAAAAGATCTAAAAGATTAATCCTTTACACATTTCGCATAGCACAAAGGATACAAAAAACGATATTATCATATCGAGAGAGAAAGAGAGAGAAAGAGGAAAGAGAAAGAGAGAGAAAGAGAGAGAGAGAGAGAGAAAGAGGGTGAGAGAGAAAGAGGGTGAGAGATAGAAGGGCGTTCTGTTTTTAGGTTGTTTGACACTGTGTAGCCCGTGGTTTCTCTTTGGTAGTTCAACGCAGGGGTGTATTTGTTTTAAGTCCGATAATTATGCGTATAGAGCAGTACTTTATGGAAACGGCACTACACCATCTTGAAAAAATGATGGAGTCGGTTTTATAGAACCGCTAGGTGCATTTATTAGTATAGAGGGAATATTCAACACCTTCTACGAAGCACTCACAAAGACAATTCGTCTAAAAATAATGGACAAAACAAGTTTCAGATGGATAGTCAGCATATTACGGAGCCCTGTTATAATATACGTAACGTTATTATGATATTCAGTATCGGCAAAGGTAGCCAAAGGCTGTCCTCTTATTGCAATTTTATCTTTTGTCGAATCTGGTCATTTATTGCTGATATCTAAACTCAACAACGACTGTCTTAATGTCCTGGGCTATGCGAATGACCTGGTTATTTTAACCTTAATCAAATTGAATGGCATAGTTAAAGATACAATGCAATAGGCTCTGATTGTAGTTGTAACCTCTAGAAGTCCAGAACCGTAAAATTTATCAGAAAATGGGGAAAGGGGAAAGACCATAAAATACTAATATATATGTCGTGTGTCAAGTCAATTACCTTTGGATAATATTATACAAGAGGCTGATTTGGAATCAGCAGATAAAACAAATAACGAAGAAAGCAATGACTACTAAATGCGCTCATGGAAATATGGGATTATAAAAAAATAGACATACTATATTAGATCTACAACATGGCGATAGAACCAATAATTATATATTCATCAATAATATGGCGACCGAAGGTGTAGCAAAAAGTGCCATCGTTAAGCAAAACACAAAGAGTTGCCTACTATGGAACCGTAGGGGCCCTGACAGGTACACCAATAGTAACAGTCCAAGGCCCACTGGATCTGGGTAAGGGTACCTCCAGTAAAACCAGGAATGTCCATTCATTAAATGCCCAATCCATTTATGTCATCATTATGTCTTGATTTTCATTGGTCACATTGGCCATAACCATATGACCAATGTGTTTTACCTGTACAAACTTATGGAGCGGAGACGTTAACACTCACGCAAAAATCTGCGAATAGACTCAGAGTTACGCAACGAACCATGGAACGTGCAATGCTGAACGTGAGCCTCCGAGACCACATAACAAACCAACAAATCAGGCAAAGATCAGGAGTTCAAGACGTCATCGAAAGAACCACGTCGCTTAAGTGGAACTGGGCAGGGCACTTAGCCAGAGCACAAGATGGACGGTGGACAAGACGTATTATGGAATGGAGGCCCAGAAACTATAAAAGAAGCCGAGGACGAGCACCGACTAGATGGACCGATGATATAAAACGTTGTAGCGGAAAACTGGCTACAAGCGGCCCAGTGTAGAGAACACTGGAAAGAACTGAGGAAGGCCTATGTCCAGCAGTGGACGCGATTGGCTGATTGATGATGTCTTGATTTTAGGTAGAAATTTTTGCAATTCTGCATTGTGCAATAGAAACTAACATAAGGGCTTTTGGACTTAAGTGGATTATAATATACACAGATAGTCAAGCGGCAATATCTTAGAAGCGTTAAGATATATTTTGGGCTAGACTGGAAATGCCGAGAAGAACTCGAAGAGAACATAGCTTTATTGTAAAAATATATCCAGTCAAGCACATAGCAAAAAGGAATTTTGGCAGTATATCTAGTACTGAGGCTGAAGTACTGCCGAAAATCAGCAGAAATCAGCTCATTGTCAAAACGGGCTTCCTTACTAGATATGCGCCAGTCAAGGTACATTTGCATACAGTGAGACTGTTTCATGGAACTTTAAGCTGCAGGATCTGTAGTATAAGACCTGAAACAGTCAACTATATCATAAGTGACTGAGAGGCCTTAGATCGCAGGCGACAAATACTTTGGTAACAATTCTCTAAACCCATACAAGTTAGTACAGGGTTCTAGAATCATGAAGTGGATATAATGAATAAGTGGAAGAACTAGCTAACTGGCTGCAGAACGATTAGCTTACAATAGACTGCTTAAAAAATCACTTAAAGAGTTTTCTTAAACTATTTTTTTTTCAATGTAAGATGATGGTAAATAAACTTTGGAAAATAAACTGTTATTTAATGTGATAGTATAATTAATTACACAGAAAAATTAAGCACTGACTTAAAAAAATACCTAGTCAGAAACAAAAACCGACCAAAAGCGGCAAAATAAAATACATTGCCAAACTACAATGTTCTAATCTTCTTTTTAATTATTTTAGTTTAACTCTTGAACCGTCACTTGGTAGTTTAAAGCGTGTTCACATATATTCTTCTTGTTACACTAGCATTTTATTTTTATATTTTAGATATAACAAAAATTTTTAAACATACGTATTATTTATTATTTATATATATATTATATATATATATTTATATATATTATATATATATATATATATATACAGGGTGTCCCAGACTAATTTAACCACGCTATATCTCTTAAACGAATAGAGATTTCCTAATGGGACGAAAAGTGATCTATTCTACTCGTAAAACACTTTAATAAAGCGTAATGAAAATCATCCCCCAAATATTCATCCCTTAGTTACAACCCCTAACTTTAATTTTATTAATAGCACCCTGTATATTTTTTTATAGTTTTGGATGTGGTCTTCTATCGTGTATTCAACAGATTTATTAAAAATAAAATCGGTTTGTAAATAATCAAGAAATCAATTAATTTTGTATTTTTGTTAATTAAGTGTCCCAGACTAATTTATCCAGGCTATATTTATTAACAAAATAAAGATTTTTTAAAGGGTCAAAAACTGGTCTATTTCATTTTTAATACACTTTAATATAGCGAAGAAAACATCATCCCCTAAAAATTCATCCCTTGGTTACAACCCCTAACTTAATCTTTTCAATAGCACCCTGTACATTTTTTTCTGGTTTTAGATGTGGTCTTCTATCGTCTATTTAACCGATTTTTTTAAATAAAATGGGTTTGTAAGGTATAAGAAAATATCAGTTTATTTTTTATTTTTGTTAAATTAATCAAGATAGCCTTAAAAATAGAATAGAAAAGAAATATTATGCTTTATTATCACTGAAATTAGATAAATCGTCAATATTATAAAATAAAAGAATGAAAGTAAAACAAAAACAATTTATTGCAAACTTTAAATAAATTGCATATTGAACATACTACTCGTACAAATAAAATACAACCTTAGGAACAATAAAAATAAATGTAATAAAAATTACATGAAAAAATAAATCAAAACACCAACTAACATTATTTACATTAAATGTTCGAATTGTAACCCACCTGCTGCAACACATTTCGAATCGTTCCAGAAGATTTCTGGTACATGTGGCTTGAATCATTTCGGGAGTAATTTGGCGACATGCTTGTCTTATGTTTTCTTTTAATTCCTCTAAATTTTGCCATTTTGATTGATAAACAATATATTTTATCGCTCCCCAAAAGAAAGAGTCAAGAGCTGACAAATCACATGAACGTGCGGCCCGCATAATTTCTGGAGAGTTGGAGAGAGTCTGGAGTGTTGCAGCAGGTGGGTTACAATTCGAACATTTAATGTAAATAATGTTAGTTGGTGTTTTGATTTATTTTTTCATGTTATTTTTATTGCCTTTATTTTTACTGTTCCTTTAAGTTTTATTGTTCCTAAGGTTGTCTTTTATTTGTACGAGTAGTATGTTCAATACGCAATTTATTTAAAGTTTGCAATAAATTGTTTTTGTTTTACTTTAATTTTTTTATTTTGTAATATTGACGATTTATCTAATTTCAGTAAAAATAAAACATATTTCTTTTCTATTCTATTTTTTAAGGCTGTCTTAATTCATTTAACAAAAATAAAAAATAAACTGATATTTTCTTGATACCTTACAAACCCATTTTATTAAAAAAAAAATCGGTTAAATAAACGATAGAAGATCACATCCAAAACTATAAAAAAAATATACAGGGTGCTATTAAAAAAAATAAGTTAGGGGTTGTAACTAAGGGATGAATATTTAGGGGATGATTTTTTCTTCGCTATATTTAAGTGTATTACAAATGTAATTGACCAGTTTTTGATCCTTTAAAAAATCTCTATTTTGCTAATAAATATAGCCTGGATAAATTAATCTGGGACAATTAATTAACAAAAATAAAAAATTAATTGATTTCTTGATTATTTACAAACCGATTTTATTTTTAATAAATCTGTTGAATAGACGATAGAAGACTACATACAAAACTATAAAAAAATATACAGGGTGCCATTAAAAAAATTAAAGTTAGGGGTTTTAACTAAGGGATGAATATTTAAGGGATGATTTTCTTCTACGCCATATAAAATTGTATAACAAGAAGAATAGATCACTTTTTGTTTCATTCGAAAATCTCTATTCGTTTAGGAGATATAGCGTAGGTAAATTAGTATGGGACACCCTGTATATATATATATATATATATATATATATATATATATATTATATATATATATATATATATATGCATGTAATTAAATTTATGTTTTAACTAATACTGTATATAAACTTTTTTAGTAACAAAAATGGCACCTCGACCTTCCCTGATTCCCGATGTCCACGAAATAACCCCACCAAACGAAGACAAACCTTCGATAGAAGCCCAACCAGCCCCACCGACCCCTGCATTAGCCAACAAAACAGAGCCTGGAAAACCACCCAGTCGAGCGGGTGCTTGTCGTGTATGCCTAAAAGCCTTTAAGCAGGACGATTTCAGTAGAACTTGCGCGGAATGTACGCAAAGGGTTTGTGAGGATTGCGCAAGTTATAGCAAGTTAAAGGAGAATGAGGACCCAGATGATTGGACTTGTAGTGTTTGTAGAAGGTACGTAAACCAATGTATATAAGTATAATGACTTCTAAATGTATTAAGTAGATTTACAGATTTTTGTGTATAAGACGTGTTTTAAGTATACTTAGTAGACATATGGCTTACTGTATACATAATATATTATTCACTTGAATAATACATTGATGTACCTATCTGTTTGAATTGCAAACAGTTTACATGTATCCATGCTTCTAATATTTTATTTGTTTGAGACTTAAAAAGTTTTGATGATAAGAAGCATCAGATAAAAGCATTAGATAACTTGAAAATTTTTTGGGGATAAAATACATGCATATACAGATTGAACGAATTTAAAACGGATCATACAACTTAATATATGTCCGTTTGAAATGCATATGAAATAGTGGACCAATATAAAACTTGGACAAAAATAAATCCATACCTGGGTATAGACATTGTATAAAATATCGTTCAACTATCTGTCTCGCAACAATGTTACAATGTTGTTTGTGTAAAGGAAGCGATAATAGTTCAGGAAATGAAGCTCGAAAAAAGTTAAAAGTTTTTCGTCCTGCATGCATTGAGTTGAAATTTTAACAGATGGTAGGTGATAGCCCAAGGATCAAAATCTATATCGAAGCGAAGAGCGCTGAAGGGTTTTAGGGGTTAAAACTACCCCTAATTTTCAAAAATTATAAAATAACAGATTAAACCTGAATATGGCTAAGATTTGGTTTGAATTAGTTAAATAATGATTTTTTTATATTTTTGAATAGAGTTCCATCATATTTCAACCCTTAAAAAGCTACCCTTGTTAGAAATTAATGTAAAAAAAGTAGTAATGCGAAGAAAATGATTTCGCTTTAAAACGATTTGGATAAAAATTTGGAATTAAGCTCAACTCACCCTCTGCTTTATAGTTTATGTCATGCCGATGAACCCTGATTGTTCTTAGGGGTGAAAACTACCCTTAATTTTCAAAAATTGTAAAATAACATTACAAATCTTAAGATGAGTAAAATGTGGTTTGAATTAGTTAAATAGTAATATTTTTATACTTTAAAATTTTACTTTTCATACTTATACATTATATTTATCCAATTTCATACATTTTCAACCCTTAAAAAACAAATGTTATGAGTGCTATAGGTGAAAACAATTTCTTGCCAAAATTTTGCAACTTTTCACCTTTTGAATATCATCCTTTATAACATTGCAGTTTCTATAAACTAATTTAATAGATATAAATTTAAAAAAGTAGAATTATACACAAAAAAATTTATCAACATAAAAAGGCACCATGTATTCTTGTACATTTACATAATTAATTGAAAATATTTACATTTATAACAACAACCACAAAAGTTCATCGGGTGCAGGTTGTTTGTTCATGCGTACGGATAATAACAAACCATCTTTGGAATACCATTCCCAATCTGTTGCTCTGATATTTTCATTGCCAAGCCATAGACATATGAGCAGATGTTTTATTCTGTTGTATGGGATTTCAAAATAAGAACGCTTAAAATTTCGAATGTATAACGCCCCACTACCTAATATACCGGTTTTGTAGATTATTATGCTCCGAAATGTACTGTACTCTACTAATGAAGTTTCCAGAATGTAATTTTCCGGAAAAAAAAATTAATTGCTTTTTTTAACGTAATTCTTTCATTTTTAACGATTAAGTGTTTCTTCAAAAACGGTTTTGTAGAGGTTTTTAAGAGCTACAAGGATCTGTGAATTAAATTTTTTTGGAACCCTTAATTTTTAAATGGAGTGAGTTTAAAGGGCTAGAAAAAGATGGTGCTTGATCGTAAATCGATGCTTTTAAACGGCTATATCTCGTCAAATATTCATTGTACAACAAATCTAAATAAAGGAAAATTTTATTCATTCAAAAAGCTACAATTTAGTACATTTTTATTTTTTTTCGTATATTCAGTATTTTCGGAGATATTTAAAAAAAAGAAGGGTAAAAAATATGAAATTGTAAATGCTGTACTTTTTCTAAAACTAAGCATTTTAAATGGGTGAAACTTCTTGGACGTATTAACAATACATGTACAAAGAGAATTGCAGAAGGGTGAAGATTGATTTTAATTTTGGGCTGTGGTTAGGGGGTTGTTTTCATCGATTGTTTCGTAAAAAAAAATGAGGTATTGACCTTATTTTTATCATAACTTACCTACTCAATTTTTGAGCTAGAGTTTTTTTTATAATAGGTTTATTTATGCTCTTTAAAAAAAGGTTCTGTGAGTTTTCTTCCAAAAAATGCATCATTTTTCCGATATTTGACTTTGAATGTTTCAAATTTGGCATTTGAAGAAAACCGCTGAACATTGATAGGCCGTATTTCGGTTCCTGTTATATCGCAAAAACATTTTAAAAAATGAATTGTATTTGTCTTTTTAAAAGCTACACATTTTTTTTCTACAATTTTTTTTTTTTTGATAAAATGCACCATTTTCGAGTTATTCGCGAAAAATCGATTAAAAACGTCGATTTTTCGTCCAAAAGTTGTTACTTTCAATCGCGAATAACTTGAAAAATATCAGTTTTACAAAAAAATTGTATAGAACATTTTTTGTTTAGAATCACATTTTTAATCGAAACCTGTAGTAAAAACGAAAAAAAATTCACCCCGAGATGGGGTGGCAACCACCCCTAAGGCTTTGGCGCACTTTAGTTCGATATAGATTTTGATCCTTGGCTATTACCTACCTTCTGTTTTTAGGACGAAAAAATTGCGAGGTGAAATGCTTTATTTCCTGGAGTATAAGTGGTTTGACAGCATAATAAAATCGTAGATTTATGTGTAGCTTTCAATTTTTATGACTTCAGAATCCAGCAGCCCGCTGAAGTATTGGATTTTTATAATATAATTATTTGATAACCTTTTGTTGGTCAACCACCTACAGCAGAATTGAGCCGAAGTACATTATATTTCGTATGTTCCGAATTTATTTCGTTCAATCTGTACATATACATAGCCAAAAAATTTGCTATGTATTGCAGCATCACAATTCATAAGCATCTTTTTAAATAAGAAAATGACACTTAGATTCTGAAAAAAATGCATGCTTCCTGAGCAACACATATTACAAGGGTTTGTTAGCAATTTATTTTATGATTGTCTAGTTCCTTTGGTTGTCGAGACACAGCTCTTTGATGGCGTTTGGATGCAGAATGTTATTAAAAGAAGTTTACAAACTTTTAGATACGAACTCCTAGTCGAATTTTCATTAAGATAGGATGTATTTAGTTACCAGACAATTCACCCCTAGTTTTTGCGAGTTTGTTTAAATCCAGTTGATAAAATTATAATAAAGTAGTAGTGTTATTATAAAAATAAATTGGTAAATTTCTTGGAGGTAAACTATAAGTAATATTTAATGTAATTACTGCCACTTACATGACAACACGTTCCCAGTATAGCCTAGGAGCCAAAGTGGTGGTTGAGTATGCACTTTTATGTCACCTTGATATCGTAACGTTTTTTATGTTTTTTTGTGCGTAGATTTTATTTTTAGACATTAACTGGCTAAAATTACAACGTTACAGATAATTTATTATTAATAATTAAATTGTTTAAATGATTGTGTCGCATAAACTATTAGAGATATTTAATTTGACTAAAATGTTTCTATGTTTATTTTTGACTCGGGGTAGGTTTTGGGGTTTCTGTTTTGTCGAATCTGCGTAAATCAGTATTAAATATTGGAAGATTGTGCATCCATGGAGCTGTCTTGGGGGTATAAATAAAGGTAGTAGTAAAAAGGTTGATGGAATCTAATAAAGGAGATAATAATTGTGGTTGTGTGAGAGACTGATTGGATGCATTTGCTGGGGGAGGTTCCAGTAGAAATGTATTTTAAATCGTGTTTAGAGACTTTAGTATATATAGAGAGAATTGATTCTCTCTCCTCATACTGAAAAAGAATGTAGTTCGTAGAATCTTTTTAAGTAATTTTAAACTGCTTGTCCTTGTTTCAGTGTAGTGTTTTGTACAATTTTATGTTAACATTCATGTTTATTACATTCTACGCCTGCTAGATAGCTCATATTTGATGAAACGCCCCTAAAGATGCTATTTTAAGCGAAAGTACTCGGGCAAGATTTAATTAAACTTGTGCTCGATAATTGCCTTATTTTTCAAAGTTCATTTATTCGAGCATTCAACCTCATATCAATTAAAAATTATAATTGCCAGAATGATTTCCAATCTCCGATAGGAGTGGAACTTGAAGAAGAAGAAGAGAGAGACCTATATATGTTAAAGTTGTTTTTAATTCAAATAAAAATAAAAATTAATATTTGAAATCGCGCTGCGAGCTCTGTAAAAAATAACGCTCTAACGTGTACAACTAACAAACTAATTAGTTGATTTCGAGTTGTCAGAATGTCCAGTTGAAACTGTGTCTCTGTGTCTATTTAGGTTATTAATTTTGTTAAATGTTGACTAAAATTCCATGAATATAACATGAAAACAACGAGCTAATGCGGTAACAGCATTGTGATATTTCGTTTAAAACAAGGTGACAGTTGCTGTATATATTTTACGGTGTTTTGTTGTTAAATGCACCGTTTATAATTCATTAAAACTTCATTACTTCCCCAAATATAAACACGTTGGGGGGCATTGGAGGTATATATCTGCCGTGTGCAATGAGAGCTTTAATTCAGGATTAACCTTAATGAATAAACTTCATTAGATAGCTCGTTGTTTTAATTAAAAATACGTAAAGTCTAAGCCTAGCATGGTTTTATCGTAATTTGCTATAGTTTTAGGATTATCAAGAGTTAGTTCTTTATAGATAGCTGTACAATGGAAGTTTTAGCTGTTACGGTAAGCTACTTTGCAGGAGTTTTATTAATCTCTTATTGCATAAACGGTACTTTTGATAAGAGATAATAGCGATTTAGTTCATAGTTACGGCAAGTTGTTATTAACTGACGGTATAATGTTAATTTTAGAAACTTAAATAGTTAATACAGGGTGTCCATGAACGCTCTACAGAAGAGAATGCTAG